TCTCACGAAAGCCGGCACGGGACATATCAGGATGGCCGACATCAAAGAGCCCCAGGCCACGATGCCTGCTTGGTTCGAACAAAACCCTTCACACGAACATGTTCCTCCCGAGACCCAGCGGCTTCTCGAAACGTGGAGTGTAATCCCACCAGATGACGTACTTGATCATGTTGTCCGACTTCGTGAGAAAGCCTGGAAGGTCCATCCATATCCTTGCATTGGCCAGTTTCGGTTTCTCGACCCCAGTTTTTCCGAGCTCCCGGATGAGCGCAAAGAGATTGTGGAACGCCTACGCAAAGGTCAAAAGCTGCTAGACATGGCTTGCTGCGTTGGCCAGACCATTCGTTTGCTTGCGAACGATGGAGCACCGACCGAAAATCTGTACGGTTGCGACCTACAGCCGGACTTCATCGACCTGGGCTATGAGTTGTTTCGGGATCGAGAGAAGCTCAAGACGAGATTCATGACAGCGGATATCTTCGACCCTCAGTCAGCGCTCACGAATATCCAAGGACAAATGGATATGGTGTATGCAGGGTCATTCTTCCATCTGTGGGGATACGAGAAACAAGTCCATGTCTCCAAAGCCGTGGTCGCGTTGCTGTGCCCGCGACCAGGCTCGATGATACTCGGTCGACAGGTCGGAGCCACCGAGCCCCTCGAGAAGGAAGGTCCTACAGGCACGATGTATCGACATAATGTGGAGAGCTTTCAAAAGATGTGGAACGAGATAGGAGATGATCTCGGTATCAACTTCACCGTGGATGCCAAGCTCAAGCCGCTGGGTAGGGACCATCAGAAATTCCATCTGGACGACAGTACAAGGCGGCTGTGGTTCGTCGTACGCCGTGGATAGCGCGCTTCATCTCTGCATACCGTTCAAGGAAAATGTTAGACCCCGATTATCAATACATGACCTAAAAGTCTACATTGTCTTAGGATGTCACTAGCTTTCGTCGTTGTCTTGATGTAGATTACAGCGCACCTGTTCAGTCTCTTCCTCGCATATTCCATTGCCTTCTGAACTGTTCACGAGAACACTCAAACCGAAGTTTCCTGTGCCTTCCCGTGTAACGCAGTCAGTACGTCCGTCTCGGTCCGTACCTGAACAGGCATAGACGTTCAGTCATTCGAAGTGTCTGGCCCGCATCTTCTGGTGCAAAGCCGTGCAAATAGCGTGGAGTCAGGAAGTCAGATCAGATCTGTATGCATCTTAGCGAAGAAGTCTAACGCAACAATCCGCACCAAGTGGACATTGTCGCTATTTTTGCGCAGCAGCACTAACATATTCGCTCAACGCAGTCCAATTTTGCCGGGATGCGTAGGGATAAAGGATCCAACTACGGCAGCCCTGTCCGCACTTTTACTTTAAGCCTAATTCCCCATACTTTTCGATATTTCGCCTCCAATTTCGAGAAGGTTGCTGATTGGCCAATTCATTCTCGGACCGTAACATCGGGAAAGCCACCTGCCTGGCTGCAGGAAGAAGTGCAAACTTCTGCTCGGTAAACATCAGTCGATCAACATCTGCCGGCGGGCGACGGTCACGTTCTCGTGTTCATTTATAGCGGTAGCAGGAATGTACACGTTCTAGCCCATCTTGACCGAGCCAGAACACCGAGGCAGGCAAGGGGTCTGTCGTTCATCTATCCAAATGAAATGCGAGATGCAATACTCAGCTCAGCCGCTTCGTTAGTGTGGAAATGTTGCGGTCGCAGGCATAGATATTATCTATAAGACATGGACGTTCAGCATCAATCCCGGTACCAACCCATCCCCCCAAAGTCAACTTTTAGCCAAGGCCAGAAACGACATTATGAAGTTTTCCATAGGTTTGGCGGTAGCGCTCATTGCAAGTGTAGAAGCATCTAGTCGCATAAAGAGGCAGTTCGGATATCCTGATGGTATGGACTTGTTTCACACGTCGACGAATCTTTCTAACACCGTCATTAGTGGAAGATTGTGGATTAGATGCGTTCGATGGGCATACGTCTGAAGCGGCACTCTTCTGTAGCAACATCCTCCGCTCAGGAACCGCAACTTCTACCATAACCAGTGGCTACACCACCACCACTACTACCACCCGGAAGACCACGGTAACCGTCCGGCCGACACCTACTTCTACACCGACGCCCAGCGCCACCCCTAAGCCAACCCCATCGTCTACGCCGAGGCCTACATCGTCATCAACCCCAATACCGTCTTCGTCTTCGACGCCCAAGCCATCCTCTTCGCCCACTCCCATACAGCCTTCTTCCACGATTGTGTCCTCGACACTTGTCTCGAGCCCATCTCCGTACGTCCCTATAGCCCACAATCTCGCACACTGTAAATAGCTAACATCTCCACAGCACGCCCACAGGCACACCAAGCTGCGGCATTGTAGCATACGTCAAGACCACGCCAGCTTACTACTTCGAGTCCAGCGGTACGAAGAACACGTTCCAAGCCTGTAGCGCGCTCTGCAAGGCCGATAGCAAGTGCCTGAGTTTTGGCTACGGTGAAGCCAACTGCATGCTTTTCGACGTTACTGCGTAAGTCCAGCTCCTTTGCGTAGTCCCAACCTCTTGCTGACTGTATTCGTAGTATCGACAACACCAACTACAATCCCATGAGCCCGTACACATTCTACGATGCCGCATGCCCCGCAGAGCTACCAGTACGTAAGCGTCAACTGGACATCTCGCTTGGTTTGCCAGGGGGCATCCACATCTCGCTTGGCCTCGGCAGCGGCGAGATATCCTCTGCATGCTCGTGCTTCATTACCAGGGGCCCAGCTAGTACGACAGTCACAAGGACAGTTTCCAGCGCGGTTGTCAGGACGAGCACTGTGACCAGCACTGTCACGAGAACGAGAGTCCCTGGTGCTGAGTGAACTAGACCACGGGGAGGAGGGACGGGCTGTTGGCGAAAAGACTGAGATAGTGTTGCATATTTACTTCATTGTTCATCGCGTGTCCCCTTCCTGTTTAGATTGTCAGATTCAACGTACTCTCTGACTCAACATATCTCCACGGGCCTCTGGCTTGAAGGCCTTTCCACCGCCCACGAGATGCATGCGTGCTACCATATCACGGACGGTGCTGCAGCTGTATGACCGCGCATCAACTACCTTGATGGCCAGGCTGGACATCGCATGGTCCAGGACATCATGATCTGCGAACCATTGGTCTTGTTCCAAATATGCTGCGTGTCCCTCGTCTTCCTGACAATGGCCCTTTGCATGCTGGCTGAAAGCAGCTTCGTTACATATGTCATACCACGGCGGTCTTCGGGTCGTATGCGTCGGCGCGCTCGACGTGGTAGTTGTGCCGCTACGGGAGATGTCTGGGACTTTCCATGGAACCATGGAATGGCCGTTCATATCGAAACTATCGCGCGCAGAACATGGTCGACATTAGAGGGTTGGCAACCGAGGAAGGCTTCGGCGAAAGCGAATAGACCATGCTCTTAGCTGTAGCTTGTCAGCGACTGTACGTATAGACGCGGCGGTCTATATAACATACCCTGTGTAGATCGCTAGCGTCGCAGCTGATACTCAACGAGAACATGCCTTTGGCGATGTCTCTTCTTATTGTTCCAGCGCGCTTTTCAGAGAAGTCGCGCTTCGTCGCGAACGGGACCTCGAGAACGCGTCAAACGGCTTCACACATCGCGATCGCAGCCTAGCTGCGGCAACGGCAACTCAATGAAGGATCCATTGATTTCCCAATTCGGCTTCGTGGTCTGTCGCGCCAGAGATCGACCAAATGATCATCGTATGGCGTGTACATGGTAGAGCGTGGATCCCCGCGTGGATGAGGGGCGACACCAGCGACATCACAAAAGCTTAGCTCAGCCCCATCTACATACAACCTTCCCCCAACCAACCACCCACCACAAAACCAACACATCCCCCACAATGGCGCATTTCTCCCAAATCACCAACCTAGCCGAATACGCCGCCTGCATCAAAGCCACAGCCGGAAAAACCGTCCTGCTAGCCTACTGGCCCGAAGACGAAACCACTAACGAGGTAGCCACGGCCCTGCAAAAGCTACTTCCGTCAACATCCTACGAACAGTACGATGTAGTCGACATTTACTGCTTCGACATGTATTCACTGCCTGATCTCGGCAATATGCTAGATGTGAGCTTTGTGCCGACGCTGATGTGGTTCATGGATGGTGTAATGGATGCGATTGTTTGGCATGAGGGGTGTGCGATTGAGGGGGAGAGTGTGGAGAGGGGGGTTAAGAGGGTGGTGGATAGGATCAAGGGAGGTGATATTGCGGGGGAGGATAGTGATGATGATTGGTAGATGGGCGGGGGTTGGAAGAGGAGGATGAAGACTCTATCACGTTAAAATCTATGTCTTGGAGAAGCATGGAGAAGTCTGTGGAGAGGAATTGTGGGTATCGAGCACCGGCTTGATAGTAACTTCTCTCGACTCCGTCACAATCCCTGGAAGCGAAATGCTCGACGTGGGGAGCTGGCTACGGCTACCTTTGGACTTATGTCATGGAGTTCTGCAGAGCATCTTACATTCGATTGGCGTCTATCGACTGGAAAGATCCACCGGAAAACGACGCATCCTAGTATGTCTTCAATCTGGTCAACCATGTTCATCAGCTTTCTTACCAAATCCAAGAAAATCGAGTCTAGCTCCCCTCCCACACTATCGGTAATAGCAAGAGTCGCAGCTACCACTCCCCTGTTGAATCAATCTATGACAGTGCAAGAAGCCAGCGTCAACTTTGCGCTTTCTGAACCCGCAGTAATTGCACTTTTTCGACTCACGCTGGCCTCGGCAAAACACTAGAAAGAACTACCCTCTTCTCCAGCTCCGCGACAAAGTCTACCTACAAGCGGTTTGCTTTACAAAGTTCTGGAAATATGCGATCTGGACCCAATTGAAACCATAAAAATATCAGCCCCCTGCCCTAATTCTACCTAATATCGATCCTTTGCCTAGTATTACCCCAATATTCGCCTTTCCTACACCAGGTACCCAAACAACAATGGCGGAAAGCAACATCGAACAAGCACTGATAGCTGCTTTCGTCCGGGAGCTACAGCGGAAGGATGAAGAGATTGAGGCCATGCGAAAGCAGAAGCGCGACGACGACGCAGCCCTCCGTATCGCTCACGAGAGAATCGCTCAGCTTCAAAAGCAGATAGCGATGAAAACACAGCCCTGGCCAAGAGGACAGCACAACAACGATGAGTCTAGCCGTTCTTTCGCCGGTAAGTTAAAGTCCAGTGCTGACGCTGCCACTGGCAAGGCGTTCAAGGGCAAACAACCAGTTATGCCGACTACAAGAGCATCCCTATCGTCCGAGAAGTTGCACGTCTCCCGCCGAAAAAGGAGAAAACACTGGTACGATTCCTGGTACAAGGTCGCAACGAAAATAGTCTATAGCAACGACGAAGTCTTTGAGATGGAGCTCCCATGTTTCGACTCAAAGTTCGATCACATCGGAATAGCTCGTCCAGTAGAGAACCCCGACGATCAGCACAGAAGCTGCTACCATTGCCTTCAATCCTACACAGAGAAGGACTTCTACGATCACTTGGGGGTCTGCAGGGCTTTCTGGAATCTTGCCGTACGCTGTGGGCACTGTGGCAGGATCTTCAAACTCAACGACGCTTTCTACGGCCTGCATGCTCCGGAGTGCAAGGTGAAATCGCAGGATACCGAGTTCTCTGGGTATCACTATACGCTGGCGAGTGCTGGGGTCTGAAGCGCGGTTCAGGGTTCGCGGGCATTGATCTCATAGTTTCGATGTCTGAGGACCGTAGCAGGATAGAAGGCACTGCAAAGTCAGTAGGATGGAAGCATTACAAAAATTTCCCAATATTAAAATATAGCTACCTGATTGTGATTTGGAATGAACAGCGCCACATGGCGCAGGTGTGCATATACCTGAAATCATCACCCACACGTTGAACAAAAGAAACAAACATGAGTAGTTCTCTGACGCGTTCTCACGGAGGGTATCTGCACTATGGCAAGCGACGCGATGTCAACCTAGAGAATCATGCAGGTTCGGGTTGTATGATGCGTCATCGGACTAGGCACGCTCCGATGCCTACACCCGTGCTTTGATGGCGTCGTAGAGTATCTAGACGCGGTGAAGCTGCTAGACTACTACCATCTGAACTCTGATACTTCCCGCCATGCCTACGCGCCTCTAGCACGTCTCCGGCACCCGTCAGTCTCGCCATGAAGTGTTGATGATCGCGTCTAGGGCTCTCGCCAAGGCTTGCACGGTACCGGGAGACGGCTATCTCAAAAGCTCCTTATTCACTACCCCGGGTGGCTCCACTCATGGCCGCCGTCCATGCTCAACCCACGAGTGCACACGATGCCAACGACCAGGCGCTGTGGCCTCAGGCCCCGGTGCAGCTCCAAAGAGGGCGGCAGCCAAAGGACTCGCAGGCCAAGATCGTGTCCTTTGGCCCGGTGCGCTCTCTCGACCAATTCGAGACGTCGTTGCGCGAATACCTGAGGAGTCCCCCCAAGGAGCCTGAGCACACCGAGGCTCAATTCGCCTTCGATATCGACACGTCCTTCGCAGTCCCGCTGGCGACTAAGCAGACGCCGTCCCAGCAGCCTCAGCAGGCAACTCAGCCGCCGCCGCTGCAACAACAACACCCACCACCCCACCTGGCACATCAATACAACCATGCACCACCCGGCTACCAGTCTGCGCATTTCCCCGCGCAGTACCACTCCCTCGCGGACCCCACTGCCGCGCTGGGGCACAGCTATGCCGAGTCCATTGAACCCAATAATGGCGCGTCCAAGACGGGGGAACAGAAAGTCGCATTGAGCGTCAGAGAGGCGCTGCAGCCGACGCCGGAGGACTCCAAGGTGAGGATGCGCAAGCAGCGAGCGGTTGCCAAGTGCTGCGTGGACATGATACAGAGGATCGACGGATACCGCTACAGCTTCCACAACTGCTGGATCAGCAGGGAGGACGACAGCTACCGCTTCTCCTACTACTGCAACGACTCGCTGCTCAACAAGGACCGCGCTGCCAACGGCAAGGGCACCAAGCAGGGAAAGCGCGCCACGAAGCCCGTCTACGACTGCAAAGGCGTCTTGTCCATCAAGTTCTCGGCCACCAAGCAGACGCTTGACGTCTTCTACAAGCATGTGCCCATACACAAGACTTACGAAGAGCGCGCTCCGCCGCCACGAAAGGACTCGAAGCGGCGCAAGTATCTTGAGGAGAACGACCCAGAGGCGCTGGCTAGGCTCGCAAGCCGCTCGAGGCAGCTGAGCAGCGAAGACCCGGACACACCTAGGGTGCTGAAGAAGAAGCGATCCGACCCTCCACCAGAGCCCCCGAGGCCCTTCAACACAATCGAGAGCGATTTGAGGCAACAGAGTCTGCGTTCGTTGTTGGAGCTGATCCAGCCACCAGCCGAGTCACAGCATACAATCATCGAAACTCCACCACCTCCTCCGCCGCCTCCGCCTCCGCCGCAGCGTCCGCCTCCGCAAAGACCCCACCCCGGACCACGCCCTACACTACACGTTGAAACGCAAGCCATAGCAGCACCCCAGCGGAAACGTCCAAGGAATAGTTGCGACGTCTGCAAGGCAAAGAAGACCAAGGTAAGACATCGCCCATGGCATGTCCAAGTAACGAGAGCTGACATACGCAGTGCGATGGCATAAGACCTGCCTGTTCGACCTGTAGCGACAAGAAACGGGTGTGCTTCTACTCGGAGCCCGCCAACGGCGAGGACCAGCGCCCACCCACCGATACCCCCGAACCCGCACGTCAATCTGCGAACAATGGCATGTCCGAGCTTGAGATGCTGAAGAAACAGCTTGAGGAAGCAAAGGCCAAGATACGAGAGTTTGAGTCGGAGAAGCGAGCGTCGACTACTCCTGTTCAGACGCCGCAGATGGGACCGCGGCCTCGATCGCAGCAATCTAAAGCCCAGCAGCAACCGCCGCAACCGCATCCGCAGCCCACACCACAACCACAACAAGTACATATGCAGCAACAGCCACAGCACATGCAGGTTCCACCACAGTCCCGCCATCGGCCACATGTCGCTCAAGCGCAGGCCTTGCCTCATGCTTCTCAGCAGCTGCAGCGTCAACAGTCGATACCGAACCACCGCCAACAACTACAGCAACTCAACCAGGGCCTCCCGCATGGCATACGAAGCCCGCAACAGCAACTAGCCTACAAGATTGGTAGTCAATCGCCTCAACAACGCCTACCGAACGCGCCGCAACAACCTCAACAGACACAGCCTCAGCAGATTGGGCCCCCGCAACAATCTCTCACGCCGCAACAACAGTTCCAAGCAGCAGCCGCGCAGCAAATGCAGACCACGCAGCTCCAGACACACCCGAACTACTTCACCGCCAATCACTCCAACCACTCTCCGTACGGAACCCTCCACCGAACCATGCCACAGAATACGCTGCCAGTCAACACTATGGCCACACAGCCTATGGTGGCGCAGAACAGCATAGCGGGACAGACAAACGCACACCTACCGCAGACGCAGCCTCAACAGCCCCCCGCACCCGCCATCGATACGAATAACGGGTTTGGGCGCGGCGACTTTGCATGGGCGCCGAATGGATACTATGGGTACCAAAACGCGGCACCGCAGCAGCAGCAACAACAAAACCAACAGCAGAATCAACAGCAGCAGCAGCAGGACCAATGGGCCGCGACAAGAGGGCCAGGGGTGTACAGATAAGCACCACGCAGCCTGATTGTCATTAAAGAAGTGGCTGATTATCATTTTACGAGACAAATATTGCAGTTACCTTAGCGAGTTTATCATGATCTAGCAAGTTTGGCGTTGAGAAAGGATATATACACATACCAGATACCCAGGATATACGAATATGAATGAAGGAATGATCACCCACTGCATACAACACGTACAGAAGAAGTAGAACAGTGACTACGTGTCTTGATAAACGTGTTGATTCAGCTTTCAAACTGCGCTACATCATGATTCCAACGCCAGAATGCCGCTTAATGGCCTTTCTCCCAGAGCCTGTGTATGTACGCCATGCCGCTCCCAAAACGCCTTGCAAATGCTAGCCGCCGCGCCATCTTCCTTCAGTAGCATGCGCCGAAATGGTCTTGTCATACATTATCTACTAGAACCCAATCTTTTGACCTAGACCGCGGAACGTGTCACTGATGCCACTGCCCATGCCAGACGACTTATCGTTCATCTTCTGAGACGAGATCTCCATACCCGCTGCTTGCATGTTGAGACGCGTCAACCGGAGGCGCAAGGTATGGTCGTATGCTTCGGCCATTTTGAGAGCGTCGGCGTGTACGTCGTGGCGGGGGTCGGTGGGTGGGCAGATGAGTAGGCGGTCGACAAGATCTATCCGCGCATTGAGAAGGCGCTGGTTGATCATCTCCTCCAAGTCCTCGTCGATGGTTCGGCCCTGTGCTGGCGGGAACTTGGAGGCCATCTCGTCGAGCGTGACGCAGCTGAAGGGTATGAAGTACTGGACAATGCTCTTCCTCCTGATCCGGCTGTAGATTGTGTTGAGCATCTTGGAGAGGTAGAGGTCGAGGAGGTAGTCGTTGCGGTAGCCTTCGAGCACTTCGAGACAGGCGCTGTACTTGGAGTTGCAGAAGAGGTTGATGGCGCGGCGGATGTGGGGTTCGAGCTCAAGGAAGTTGCGGAATTCGCTGTTTGCTAACACCTTGTTTTGTAGGTCGGTACGGTCCATGTAGGCAAGCGCGCAGAGACCGCCATATACGGCGATGTCATTGCCTGAGATGACCTCCTTCTGCCATGTAATGTTCGCTGCTGGCTCTGCAGTCAGATATGCCGCTGAGGTGCCGAGGAAAGCTGTCGCAGCTTCACGGTAGTTGCCGGTAGCCATGTGACATAAACCGCTGCAAGCAGAGATGATGGGCTCCAGCTTAGCCTTCTCATCGCCCTTGAGCTGAGTGGCTTCCGACTTGGCCAGGTTGGCTAGTACAGTTGTCCATGACTTCTGTGCGATGCTAACGTATACGAGGCGGAGGGTCATATCGGCGAGGTGCTTAGGGGAGGTGCAGTGTTCGCGCATCTTCATGTAGGCCTTGTGTGCGCTGCTGAAGTCGCCGGTGTCGTAGTAGAAGTGACCGAGGTCTTCATTGCCCATCTGCAAAGTGTAAGTGTATTGGCACCTATTTCCCCGATGTCTCCACTTACTCGTATGCTCTCCTTGATCAGGTTGTTCTTGTATGACTTCAACTCATGCTCTAGCCGGTCGTGCTCCTCGCGCACCATCCTCGTCTGCCTCTCAACCCATGTCGTGTCGACCACGGAAGCACCATCTTGTGGTGATATGCGACTGTATTCCTCTACTAGACTCTGGTATAGAGCAACATTCTTGCCCTTCTTTGCCTCGGCGATGGCAAGGCGGTATGCGTCGGCGGCGAGGTATGGCGAGTGCGCGCCGATGTGGTGCAGGCGGTCGATTCGTGTGTACCCTACAAGACGAATTAGTATACAGATATCTGAAAAGACATTGTAAGAGACGTACCGGTGTAGTTGGCAATGTATGATTCTAGGTCAAACTTGGGAGGGTCTATCGGAGTTAGCGAACATGCGGATTGTTTGTATGGATTATGTCATACCCTTAACCACGATTTCGCCCTTTGACCTCTGGTCCTGGAAGAAAGGCGATTGCTCGATATTCGAAGCCATGGTGGCAGTGTTGTGAGAGGGAGAGAGGGCGTGGTTGCGGCGTACTGCTTGGAGTCGATGGAGGTACAAGCTGTCTAGGTCGCTGCTGCCTTCCCACCGCGGGGAACTGAGCACGGACCTTCACCCGCCGCTCCGCCTACTTCCCAAGGCTCCATCACGACGCGCAGTCACGGGGGCGCTTGTGGCCTTTCCCTTCTCCCACCTGCAGCATGGATTGAGTGAAGCAAGCCTGGCGCGATGATCTGGCCGCGGAGTTGTCCAGACGTCTCAAGCGTTGTTTCTGGAGGCAACACCGCATATGCATCTAGACTCGACAATAGCCAGGACGAGGCCATGGATGTACACGTTGTTGAAACACGGCCATGCAGGCACTCGATACTTGCTTATGGCTACGCTGCCTAGGCCTGCAAACCTCTAGACTTTCGTCTTCGCATAACCTCTCTAGCTACGAAAACAAATCCAGTTCAATGCCCTCCTGCATCACCAAAGCGTCAGCGTCCCCCACGAGCACGCACCCGCAGACCCTCCACGCCACAGCAATAACCAAACATACCCCCATAGAAAAACAATCCTTTGCGTCAATGCATTCTCCACGCTTAGGCGGACCCGATATTCCGGTATCGAAAAAAGACCAGCCGTCCGTCCCATATTTTATCCACACACACATGGTCAGCTGTGGCTGAGGCTGAATCCAGGCCAACGCAACGGGTAACGCCCTGCCTGTTGCCCTGGATAAACTGGTTATCGGAAAGTTGTGGCAGCTTACTTTGAGTAACGGGTACGAGAGCCGAAATTCCCAGAGACCATACTTTGGGGAGATCTACGACGCAGGTCCGGGGCGTGGTCGATGTCAGCTCCTTCCACGCCCTGGGGTAGTTGGACCTCCTCGGAGCTTCAGGTGTGTGGGTAGTCGGTTTCGACGGGATGAATATGTAGAAGTTACGTGTAGTCAAGTAATAAAGTGTTTGAAGCAGTCACAGATGATGTGCGTGCAAGTATCATGATGGTAATAGTCAATAGATTCAGATACCATGTCTTCGCGTCCAGCACGTCCATTACATCTCGCTCGCAAGCGCAAACTCCAAAAGCCCCAGTGGTATCGATCGAGAAAAGTACAAGAATACAAAAACTACAAGCTTGGTAGTACAGCAAAGAAGTTCGTTGGGGTGTTCGTTCGTTCATCATGCCGTGTCTGTGTACGGGCTGTCTCGCAACCTTTTGTAGATTCCATCCGTATCGCTCAAAACGCTCGCAGCAAAAGCAAATGTCGTATCACTATTCGTACTCAGAGAGCCCACTCTAGTGGTGCTGTCTCCATGCTCACACCGTTGATGCCGCCGACGATGTTGTCGGGCACCCACGGTCCTCTCTCCTCCCTCGTCGCGGAATGCAGGGCATCTGCGCGGTTGAAAGTCTGAACGTCCAGATCTGTGACGTAAGACTTGCCGTCAGGCAGCTTCATGCGCACTTCAAACTCTTGATCAAGCATCATGTCGTCTTTCCACAGCCTTCTCTGGCCGTCGTATACGCACAAGACGCGCTTCTTCATCTTCATCTTGTCGGTTGCGCAACCCCAGGATACGGGGTAGTTCTTGCGCTTCTTGCGTCCAGAGCCGGTGATGGCTACTCCTCCTTTGGAGAAGGTAAGGCCGGCGCGAGGGCCCGACTTCTGGACGCGAGAGGAGGATTGGTGGGTTGGTAGGTGGTTGCCACCCCCGACGTGCTGCGTTGCGCCGACACCTCGGGGATGTGTTAATTGTCAATGTTGTTTGGAGGACTTCATTGCGCCCTTGCCGGAGCGAGCGCGACGAGAGCCGTAAGTGGCATCTTCGTGGTCGTCATTGTCGACCTCGTCTTCCTCAAAGTCATCCTCTTCGTCTTCATCGTAGCTGGGGACAGTGTACTCGATGCTCTTAGACAGACCATTGCGGTCAAGTGTCTCGGTGACGTCTGGGTCCTCTGCAACCGAAGTGAGCAGGCGTTGGTTGATGGCCTCGCTGGGATCGGTTTGCTGAACGACGCGGAGCACACAGTCGTCCAAGTGCTCGTAGAACTCTTGCGCGTTGGCAAAGGTGACCGAGCAAGTGGAGCAAGTACCAGCAACACTGGGCTGCGAGCCACCGAAAGCCTTGCGGCCAGATGGGCTCTTCTTGCGGCTGTTGGGAGGGTTCTGCTCGACACCGTGAACAGATGTAAGATGCCTCTTGAAGACATCAGCGCGGTTGAACGACTTCTCAGCCGCTGAACCGCTACCTGGACAGAAGCCGCAGACCATGGTACCCTTGTAGTGTGTGAGTGTGTGGCGATTCTTGTCATACTTCCTTGCGAAACCCTTCGAGTAGTATTCGCAGGTCGCGATAGGGCATTTCTCTGGTCGTTCAGCACGATGTGTGAGCATGTGCGCCTTCAGGTCTTTGAAGACGCGTCCACACTCGGGCAGTGGGCACATGCCCTTTTCGCGGGTCTCATCCTTGTCATAGCTGCTTCCACTCTTGCGGCTGGTGCCTGAGTTTTGTGATTGGACAGAGACGACGGAGCCTCGCCGTTGTCCGCCAGGTTGAGGGTAAGGCTGATATCGTTGAGTGTGTAGGTATGGGCTAGCGCTACCCCCTTTAATGTGTGCCGAACCGGGACTCTGGGTGCGCGATGAGAGTTGAGAGAGAGCTGGGGAAGGCGGCTGCTCGACAATGGGGAAGTAGGGAGATGGAGTAGCCCTAATCTCAGGGTATGGGCTTTGAGGTGCGAATGGGAAGGGCTGAATGAGATTAGGATCTGCTTGAGTTGCGTTAGTTTCTGTTGCATGTAGCATTGGAAGGCAACCAACAAGACTGAAAAGAATGAAAAGACTGCGGAACTGAAGTGACTGAAGGAGAATTGACTGATGTAACACTGGGTGTGTTGACCGTGTCCGATAAAAGAGAATTCCCCCGCCCATCTGATCTGGAAGACCATTTGGCTGAAGCTGGAGTCATAGGCGTCTTGAATACATGCCGCATGGAGTTTTGCGACGGAGAAGATGTAATGAAAGAAGCAGGCGAGGTTTTCGGTAAAGGAACAGTCGACTTACCCACATACGACTTATCAGCCGCTACCATCCCTGAGTAGTCATAGCCAGAAGAAGCACCAAGTCCCAGTGTGTGCCACGACTCGTTGAATTGCGGAACAAGTGATGGGGAGCCCATGGCAGAAGACGACACTGAAGCGCCAGATTCGGAAGATGCCGAAAGAACAGGGGGGATTTCGTGGAAAGAATGCGAAGTGGAATGTGGAGAGCCTGCTGGGGTTTGATACTGATATGGCTTGACACCTTGTGCGATGGCATCGTAGTGGTATTGTAGATCTTGTGGCCGTTGGAGGTCTGCAAGAGTAGCCATCGGGTCAAAGGGAGCGCTGAAGGCGTGCTCCATGGCATATGTTGAGGCAGGTACATAAGGTTGGTTGTGGTGAAACTCTAGATGCTGCTCTTGAGGATTGGAGTAGAGCTCGAAGTCGTGAGCCATGTTGGGTGTATATTGGGCGTAGTCAACCATGATGAGGAATGTAGTAGGTGGAGCAATGCAGGTTGCAACAGATAGGAATTGAACTGCAGCCGATGCCTATATCCGTAAATGGAGTCAGCATAAGCACTGAGTAGGTGCGATCGGATCGATGGTGTTTGGTTGGTAGGGCTAGCGCAAATTATAAGGGACCGACAGGGGAAAGCTTACCTTCCCGGAGGAAGTGCCGATCAAATCCTAAGGTTGTCGTATGAGTCGGCGAATAGTCAAAGGGCGTCGAAACTCTGCTGATCTTTTACTGCATGTGGGTACGGGAGTGACAGCGCGTAGTCCCTCTCCGTTGAGTAGTCCTGGAGGCGGCTGGCTGAAGCGAAGGACAAGTCAGAAGCCGGAAGGACTGTGATCCTGAAGGGTAATCCACGGCGTCGGAAAGGATCTGGATGAAGTAGTGTTTGCGTTGATCATAGGCCTGGATGGAGGACGATGCCTTGGGGGGCGAAGTTGGTTTATACATAAGGCCCAAGACAAGACCGCAATGGCCCCCAGCGGGAAACAGTGCACGAAGCTATACGACGGCAGGCCAGGCCCCTGTCCTGGAGGCTTGACTGCCCTATGCGCTTGGGCCTCTGGCATGAGGTGGTAGATTAGGAAACGGTCAGGCCACGCTAGGAAAAATAAAAAGAAGGCAGAAGTTACCGGCCGCCGTCAATTCACGTCCCCGCCTCGATCGCGCGCTCCGGCCTCCCAGTGGTAGCACTAACCCCTTGGGAGTCGCGGTGTGCCCGACCCCTGTCCACGCAAGTCGACGCACCAACAGAGCAAGCCATGCCGAAAGTGACGAGGGGTAGAGGGCCGTCAGCGAGTAGGCGAGCAGCGCGTGGGAGCCTTCACGCTGCATCTGGGCAAGACAAGCGCATTAGGGATAGACCCTGGAGAAGACGCACGCTTGATCACCGCTTCGGTCGGGGAGCCATGGGAGGACTGGGAAGCTGTCCTGCCATTCCGCACGCCTGGTGGCCCTTAGCGCATCTGCTACGCGATCCTCTCGCTTTGCCCGGACCGCTGTGGCTGGTGGCGCTAGCATGCGGCTGTGCAGGCAGTATGACGTCTCATTGGACGTGGGGCGCTGCTAATCTTAGACCATTGCCCTCAATCGGGTCGTTAAGCGAGTCCTCGTGGGGCTCGTCGCTGCACTGCCTCTCCAGCAGGCCCTGTATCGCGCTGACCTCACCGTGTTTCTCATCGTCACATCGTCACTGCGGGACTGACTCCAGCATGCCCACCCACTCTTCGTGACTAACCAGCCTTTGAAGTCGTGGTGCGTCATGGCACATTGTGACCGCCTACATGAGCACATCGCAAGGCTACTGTGGCATGGCGTGACATGGTCCTCTGAATAATCTTGGTTGCGTTTCGAAGTGGTGGGCGCGGGCGTTGTCTGGTCGCGAGCAAACACACTTGCCCTACAACCGTAACCGTTTCGTAGCCTTGGACCGGGTGTGG